TAATGTTAGCTCAAAGGAAGGGGGGAAAAAAAATCCGCATTTGAGTTCTTCTTGGTTTAAACCTCAAGTTCGTAACATTTTGTGCTATACTACTGGCTTCAGATAATGGAAACATACCGGCTTGTGCGGAGCCCAAATCTTGCCGAGCCCATCATATCAAGTGTCCAAAGATCGTTAAACAAAAGGCCCACTTAATAGGTTGATCGGTGGAAAGGAAGTGTATCACGTGCACCGGAAATAAAAATAATCACTGGTTCTTGGGGCTTCTGAATGCACATGAATTCCATCCCTGGTCAATCATTCAGATTCTATCCCAGCAAACTCAAATCAGCAGGTGATAATTTATATATAGATCTATATATCTCGAGGGAATAAAGATTATGCTTTCTCAACTTCGCAACTTCTAATAAAGTTTTTGAATTGAGAGACGATTAACACATGATTTCCAAACATGTTGAGCTCTCTTGAGCTGCTTTATATATATTCTCATCAAAAAGGGCAACTTCCTACAGTTCATGGCAATTAGCTGATGAGAAAAACAATGTTGAGATTTACAAATTACAATTTACTACACACCAACCCCATTATTGCCCCCCAACAATGCAAATGAAAAATTACAAATTACAAATTACAAATAGCACATTCCTAATGTGAGATTCAATGAGCTTTCTTTCCAAGAATGAGAATAAACAAACGTTCGACTAGCCTCCAGTATTTGGTGTTCAACCGACAAGACTTGCGTATAGCAGCTCATTCCAAGTGTCTGGCAATCCAGGAAGGCACCAATGGCTGCAATCTGTGCCACTGTGTTCGCCGCTATAACCCGATGGATGTCCGTCTTTTCGGTATTGCGATAAAGCTGTGACATCCAGCAAGTAGACTGGTTTCCTGAGCCTGTTTAGCACTTTATTAACAACCACCCAAGCCAAGGGTGTTCCTGCAGGGTACCTTGCTCCAAAGTAAGGCATCGTCTCGCCAGAACACGATCTTGATGGTTGGTTCCAATCTCTGCCCCTGTTTCACAATCCAACATTTCTTCCTTTTTTTCTCAAATTCCTCATGATACAAGTTTAAAAGAAGGAATGCAAACGCGTGCTTTCTCATAATGATCAGTGTAAAATGTAATTACGCGGGGTAATGTTATTGTTTAGGTCATTACTTACTGATCATAATCAAACCATGTCTTTTACCAAATACATGAAGTAATGTTTATCATATTTCCCATATAAGATTAAGAAGGAACGCATACTCGTTAAGTTCTCGTGATGATTAGTGTAATTATGCGGTATAATAGCGTTATTGTTGAGGATCACTACTTACTCATAATGGGTGGGAGAAATCCCTTGGAAGAAGACTTTTGTTTTGGAAGGATCGACATTGAGGTTGATCCACCTAGCCCAAGTCGTTAGTCCTTTGTAAAATGCAATCAGACGGTTCATGTCTTTGAACAATTTGTTGCCTTCTTGCAAATAATCCCATCTGCATTGTCATCATTAGCAATATCAGATAAGATGGTGAATGAAAACGTGATCGCCGATCACAAGGATAGTTACTCACGGTTGGGATCTCCCTGTGTGGGTCCACCAATGCCACGTGTTGAAGATCAGCAGGTCCATGCCTCTCCACCCATTGCCATTCTTTATGGAGTCAAGCTTCAAGACTCGTCCCACCCTCTCATGCACAAGATCTACAAGGTATGGCGTCCGATATAGCAGTATCTTAACACCGTAGTCCTACACAAAAAGGTTTAAATATTGATTCTTTAATTTAAAATTTGATGTATGGTTGAATAACTATTTGGACCTCTCTATGGTAAGGATACATTATTAGTAGTGCATGTTTCTAAAGTCAGATCTATTCAAAATCTCATCAAAAAGAAAAATGCAAAAGTACTGATAAATACTAATACATATATGACGGTTCAAACTTGAGCTAAACCCTACCGTCGAATCTCATAATCAACCAGCAAAAGCCGCCACTCTTTACCATCTAAATGACCAATTTAGCAAGTGTGTGATTTAATTGGTTATTGAAAGTACAAGTGTACAACGCGAACTGTGAATTAGGGAGGTGGTCCAATATTCCAAGAGGAAAACTGAAAAGTCTCTGTACCCAAGTTTGATGTTACAACTCATAGAAAGTGGTCCACAGATGTATATAGACTCTTTTTCATAACCAACCAAATCAATCCTCAATAAGAGGGAAAAACATAGGTCATGCACATATTAAAACAGTTTTATATGCATTTATTTGTTGTTCTCTTTTATAATCTACCATAAAACAAATAGGTGGTGTGTGCGCGCGCGTGTATATATATATACACTTTGACACCTTAGTCTGAGGCCCATTCCCTGATGCTTGTTGTTTGACATACAAAGATTATTGTTAGATATCGTCTAGTATATAACAAAAACGACCATATTTGTTAGAAGTGAGTGGTATTACAATATAATCCAGAGTTTTCAATTGGGCAAATCAACATTATTGAACATGAAAAAACAACAAAAAAATAACATAGGAAAAAGAGGGGGGAAAAAAATCTTTGAGAACAAGTACTTAACAAGCGTTAGCTATTTAAAGCAAAAGGGTATGTACGGTTTTTCTTATTATTTTTTTAAGGCAATAGCATAATTTTATTAAAAAGTCACTAAAGGGTTAAGATACATGATAAAATTAAAGTAAAAAATCGAGTCTTACCCATATAATTAGGTAATATAAACACACTCTTTATCTAATAATAAAGAGAACTCCTCTAATTAGTGGTACTATAGAGTTCCACCACTTTAAATAAACGATTCTAGATAAACTATAGCCTCGTTCACTTCGCGAATTCGAGCTGAAATGTGATATTTTTTTAAAACTTTTCACTGTAGCAGAAAAAATTAAATGTGACATTTTCTGAGAATTTTTTACTGTAAAAATTTAAAATTAAAAACTTAAATCGGTAAAATAAATAAGACCTGTATCTCAGTCCTAATTCTCAATTTATAACCAGAAAAAGAGAAAGGTTAAAGCAAATAGAAAAAAAGTTAACCTGTAAAAAAAAAATTATTACTGCGGAAGGGGCCATAAAGAAAAGAAAATAGAATAACCAGAGAAAAAGAGAAAGGTTAAAGCAGTAGCTGACAAGGGCCCGGCAAAGTGAAAACTGAAAAAAAAAAAAAAAAAAAAAAAAAAAAAAAAAAAAAAAAAAGGCCTACCACCAATTACGCTTCCAGTTAATGCTCACTCCCACGCACGCTCAGACAAAAACGTAACACAGTAACATGAGATCATGAAAGCAATTATACTTTCACCAAACAAAGCTCTTTTCTTTTTTTTCAAGCATAAAAAATGGAAAAAGTATCTAAACTACTGTGTGTTTTATCGAAGTGTCACGTTTTATTTCAAATTTTTAGAAATATCGCAATTACCTCTTGTCTTTCTTATTTTGTCACGAATTTTCATTTTGACAAAATTTAGTCAAACTTACAGTGAAAAATATTGACCTGTTTATTTTACTGATTCGAGTTTAAAATTTGAATTTTTTTACAGTAAAAAGCTCTCACAAACTATTTAATTTTTTTATTACAGTAAAAACTTATCACAAAAAATCACATCTTAACTCAAATTAAAAACTCAAATCAACGAATTAAACTGATACCTCAGAAAAACTTCAAGTTTGATTAATCTTGTGGTCAAAGTAGTCTTTTTAACACTAAAATGAGACAAAATTTGTCAAAATAAAATTTTTTTAACATGAAATGGAAAACACGAGAGAAAAACATCACATTTCGATAAAACAAATAGGAAATATTCAGGTACATATCCCATAATTTCCATACCCAGCTTCTTGAAAGAGATAAACTTTACCTTGTGAAAAGCTACTACATGAAAACAAAAAGAAAATAAAATAAAATAAAAAGAGTAGAGAAATTATAGGCATGCACTAGAACCGGCAATTATTGCTGCCAAATTCATAGCGAAAAACTGACCTCAAATGTGACTGAAGAAAGTGATTCAGTTCTCATAACTGTGGTCTTGGATTTGGGCACCCATGCATGAATCATACAAGTTAAAGATTGCCATTGGTTCAGACTCAACGAATCACCCACAAACATAATCTTTTTCCCTCTCCATTTCTTCAAGAAATACAGTCCATTAAACCTTAAAAGAAAAAAAAAACCCAAAAAATAAAATAATTTTCAAGTACCCATTTGGCAATTTGTTGAGTTTTGCCATATTTTATGCCAAATGAAGCAAAGAAAAGGAGTACCTGGGTAAGGAACAGGAGAGAGGTTGCCATCTGTATTTGAGGTAAGATTTATCAGGACGGCCATATTTTTGGCAGTTGAACTCTGGATCTACGAAGGGACATGTAGAGGAGTCGTAGAGAGGATACGACGCGTCGTATTTCCATGTTCCTCGAAACCAGTTGCACTTCCCTGCTAGCATTCTACTACTGCCTGCTGCTGAACTACTAGCATTATTGAAAGGATTGATAGAAATGATATCCTCCGCTTTTGTTTTTTGGGAAAACAGAAACAGAGTCAGAAACAGAAACAGGGCTTTGAATGGAAAATAACCCATTTTCCCTCTTGGGTTTCGACCCACCGAAGAAAATAACGAGGAGTGAAGAATAAAAGGTTATCCCAAACAATTCTTATATAATGCATGTGAGAGAGAGAGAGAGAGAGAGATGAGAAAGAGACTACTAAAGTGGAGCTTTGTGGGGGCTTTTATTTTTCACATGGAATGTAAGAAAGAGCTGTGAACCTTTTTTTTTTCCCCGATAAAAGAAAAAAAAAATTAAGATTTTTTTTTGCTCTCACAAAAAGAAAAAATCATTAGTGTCATTCTGCTCTCATTTTCTTCTTACTCTAAAATTAAAAATCCTTTTTGATATAATATATTAATATGTCAAATTTTTTTTACGTTAGATCTGTATAAAATTACATAAAAATCAAAGAGTATATAGATTTAATAATTAAAAAATTTTAATATATTGATACACTAGGTGTACAAAAAAATCTCTCTTAGAATTATAAGCCCAACAATAATGGGTCTAACAATGAAACAGAAATGACCAATACAATTCTATTTGAAAGATATATCTAGTTTTAACTCATGTCATCACACACTTAATGTCAACTATTCTAAAGGCATTTTAGGAGGAGATGAAAGAAAAATATTCTTATTATTATACTAAATTATTAGTAGTAAAAAGATCCTTAATTATTTCAAAACAACATAGAGTGTCTTTAACCACGTTTTCTTTTTTTTTTACAATTTGAATCATAATTCAAACTTTTTATTAATATTTTTTTTCACATAAATTTAAATTTAATTTTTTGACCACAATATTTTTATTCACATAAATTCATATTTTAATTCAAATTCTCGAATTCAAACTCACAGAAAGAAAGGCCTATCTTTAAAGTGTGGTTTTCAATAGTGGAATGTGGGGTTTGATCCAATCTATCCCAAACCTTGCTTTGGAAAAAACAAAAAAAAAAAAGGAATCGTGATGATGTGGATTCTAAAAATAATTATAACGGGGAAACATTTTTTTCTCCCAAGAAAGAAAGAGCTGTGAGAAATGGCTTTTTAAAGGCAATTTTGATTTCACCAAAAGTGATTCAGGTTTACTCAAGTGGGCCGAATTGTCATATTTGCCCTCTAGATATGTTGCACAGATGTCTGGTTGTCTGAGTTTATACAATAATTCTTCACCCGTCCCAAGCTCCCCATGCATTGATAGGTAGTTTTTTTTCCTCCCCTAAACCAATTTTTAATGGAGTTTTCTCTTAAAGGATTTCAGTACTTCATTTTGATAGGCGGTTTTCAATTTTCCAACCTACCGTCTTTAGTTTCTTTCAATATTTGATACCAAACATTTGGACCGAAATTCAATTCTATGTATGAGTATAGGTGTCTGCCTAAATTAATGTTTAGTCCTTGAAAAATAATTAATAAGTATTTACTCATTTAAATAGGCTTCCATGTTGAAAGAAACTTTTCAATATAGCCTTTGACTCTTTATGTTAATATGAAAAACATAATTTTTCTTGTGTTCAGAAAGTAATTATTGATTTCTGCGTTATCAAACAATACTTTAGCATAAATCTCTCAATTTAAAGTTTACAGAATATGATTAAACGTAAAACAGTAGCAAATAGAGTTGTTGTTCATTTTTTTATTTTTCTTTTAGGAGCGTTTAGTACGCAATAATCAGTATGAATTATATTACTAAAAAAATAATATATGGTAATATGATTATCAAGAAATATGTATTATCACGTTTGATTATGTATAAGAATTTTGTCTCAGATTCTCAAGAATATCATTTTACTGCGTTTAGTTGCGCACAATAATATAATGTAATTTTTTGTCTAGAATTTATAATTTTAAATATTTTAAATTTATAAAATTACGAGAATATAATTTTCACACCATTGCATTCAAAAAATATATATAAAATAATACTAAGAATTTTAAAATTAATAAAAATAAAAAAAATAAGTTTATTAACTGAAAATTAAAAAAAAAAAAGAATCATCACTCCTCCTCACGATCTCTCTCTCCCTCTCCCTGTCGCGGCCAGCAAGGTCTAGATTTCATACCACGAACTCGATGTGATCTGTCTTTCACGCGACGAAGGGCGATGAAGTTTGGGTTTTGTGAAACAAAAGGCAGTGGTTTCTGGGTTTCACGGTACGGAGGACGGGGGGTTTGGATTTCCCTAGACGAAGGCCGGCGGGGTCTGGGTTTCAAGCGACGGAGGCCGGCGGGGTTTGGGTCTCTCGCAATGGAGGCAGGCCGGCGTTTGGGTCTCGCGCAACATAGGTAAGCGGGGTCTGGATTTCGCGGGACAGAGGTGTTGGGATTGTTTAAATATAACATTTAAGAATTTGTTAAGTTTTAAAAAAAATATACTTTCTACGTGTTTCAAGTCTCCTTTCCCTTAAGATTTCCAACAAGAGGTCGATGGTGATTGGGTTGCGCTATGGTGGCTGGCACAGGGCTGGGCTGGTCGTGGGACGTTGGCGAGGGGCTTGGTTGGCTATTTGATGCTGGTGACGGAGGCCGGCGAGGTGAGGCTGTGGATGTGACGGCTAGCGGAGCATGTGGGATGGTGGCTGTGAAGATGGGTGTAGTGGTGTGACTGTAATGATGGTGACTATTGGCTTGTGGTGAGATTCCCACCTTTTTAGGATTCCCAAGCAAATATCACCTTATTAAGTGATATTTAAATTACCCAAAAATGAGATGATTTTTTTAAAAATCTAAAAATTACAATTTTTATACCAAACACGATAATTTTGTTGATTCTCATTCTCACACTTAAAATTACCGTATATCAAACGACCCTTGAGGCTCTTTGCAAATGGGATACCCAAACCCTTTTGATTTTGGCACTTAAGTTCCCAAACTTTTTACCTTTGACACGTGTACTTCTTTTGGAAAATTTGGATAACATGATGTCCAAACAATCATTTTCTTTACACTTTAGTCCCTCTTTTAGAAACAAAGATTTGAAAATAATAACTGAACACGGTTTCTTTTTTTAAACATTTAGCCATATCAATTTCGTAAATATATTAACCACGAGTGAGCATACATTGTAATATGTTTTTTTTTTAAAGGTATACAATGTAATATATTGACTTATAAAGATATTGGTCATGAGTGAGAATACATTCCAAAAGTCACTTGATTTTTCTTATCTGCTGATTTAGCGAATTTAAGTTTTAGGGTAAAAATAGTAATAAAGTTAAGAATAATAAGATAAATATTTAAAAATTTTAAACTAATCAGGAGTGAACATACATTATTACACCCCCAAAAATGACTTCTGATCTTTTTTATTTGTTGACTTAATGAATTTAAATTTCAGGAGTAAAATTTATAATAAGGTTAACTGATTATAATGGATATAAAATTGATTCCTTTTTTGCTATATGATTTTCATTTTATTGATCGATGTTAATGAATAAGTTTCTGGGGATTTAAAGCACAAGAATAAGAGTTTGGGGCCGTCTATTTCGATTTTCAAAATAGAAATCCAAATATCAAGAAAATGAGAGTTCAGGTACTACGTTATCCAAATTTTTAAAGTCCAAATGTCAAAGATCGTAGAGTTTGGGACTCGGATGTTAAAAAAATAAATATCCTTTTCTTTTTCTTTTCATTTTTTCCTCTAAAAAACAGAGTTGTTCAAATTTGTTATCACCACGTCCTAATTTATACAGCTTCTGATTTCTTTGATATATTGGAGTTTTTTACATGAATATGCTTTTTTTTTTTGTTCTTTAACTCAATTTTACATGACAACCACGGGAGATTTTTCGGTGAGCGTGATATGCCTCATTATAAAGGTTCAATAGGGTCATTAACTATGTCTTAAAATTTAAATTAGACGGTTCATAATGTTATAAGCTGGACATTATTAAGATTAAATAACGAAATTAAGATTAAGACTAAGATTAATGAAATTAAAGTTTAGGTCATTTTTAACATTATATCAATATTTTTTAACACTATTTAATTAAAGTTTACAGAATATGATTAAACGTAAAACAGTACCAAATAGAGTTGCTCATTTTATTTTATTTTTTTCCTTATAAGGCTTTTTGCAAATGGGATACCCAAACCCTTTTGATTTTGGCACTTGAGTCCCCAAACTTTTGACGTTTGGCACTTGGGTACTTCTTTTGGAAAATTTGGATAACAGGATGCCCTAACAATCTAATTTAACACTGTCCAATTTAAATAACGAGATTAACATTAATGATATTCTAAAATTTTAGAGGCGAAAGTCATCCATCTTTTTTACCTTTAATTACATAAAAAGAAAAAATCTAATGAAAAAGGAACCCCTTTGATGCACCTGCCGCCTATCATGTTGACAATTGTTATATTGAAGTGGGAGTCCTAGCCAATCACGCATAACAAATAAATAATAATAATAATAATAATAATAATAATAATAATAATAATAATAAAAGCAGTCGGTGTACTACGTGTATATTTCATTATATAATGATTACGAATATTATTTTGACCTAAAGAATTATATGATCAATCCTTTTTGGAAATATATAAGAAATATTTTCAGTGGGGAGATATAGACCGGTTTAATTAGTGTCCATCATTAATTAAGTTCCTGTCATAAAGATTTAGTCTAAATTAACACAAGGATTCGTTTTAAGATGATACTTATATCTCTTTTCAGTTCATATATATACCATATATACTAGTGAATTGAGCACTATATTGCGTATGCATTATTAGCATGATTTAAGATATTATTGTAGATATTGACTAATTGAGCCTAGTAAATTAATAGCTTCCTCATTCGCTTTGGTGACGTGTTCGTTAATTTTTCGTTTTCTGAACTTGAGGGTGGAAGATCGATTCGTATTCAAAACTTCAACTTTACTTAATTGTGAGAGGTTACGTACTTAAATAAAAGAAAACATGTCATAAACCTAAAAATAAATAAATAAAATCTAAAAGAGGGCGAAAGAGATCATAACGTTGCACGTCTTAACTCATGTTCCTCCGTTCATTTCGGCTGAAAATACTTAAATTTTTGGGACATATATTTATAAATATAATTAGGATTAGGATATAGTAGCGGAAAATTGCAATGGAAATCCAAACAAGTATGAACCTCTTT